AAACTTTATAGTCACTGTGAATATAAAAGGACAATTTATTTTAAAAGTGCATATTCCTGCAGATCTTGGCTAAGGATATAAGCCAGTTATAACTGACAATACTAGCAAGAAAAGAAATAAGAGTTTTACAGATTTATGCTGAGATGATCTTAAGGAAAATTTTAGATAAATATCAAAGATGAGACAGTTCAATGACTTTACTATCAGATAACCACAAAAAACACAAATGTGACTGAGTCAAATCATGTATAGCTCTGAACTTGCGTACGTGGAAGCTTTCTATCCTATATTTTCTGTCTCCGTCCTAAATACACTTTTTAGGGATGAAAGCTGGCATAGTGGAGAGACAAGGATTTTTGTTAGCAACAGCCTACTTTATATTTCAAAAAATATTTTCTCCACCTTAGGATGCTCAAACTATAACAATAACCAACATTTAGTTTAGTAATTAAGCCTATAAATGCCTGCCAAAGTAATTTTGTTATCAGCAGACATAAAGAAGCACTATATTCTTTGCGCTCAGCCTTAGGATGCACCATTACCAATACTACCACTCATTTGAAAGGAGATCGCATCTCAAAACTTTCAGAGAGTGCTTTTTAACTTAAAAACAGAGCTATGCAGTCTGCACAGGAGACTACTGTGCTCAGAGACACAGTGCCCCTTAACTTCAAACACCTATAATATAAAAATCTTCACCTGTAGTTAGCTAGCAAAGAGGCACTCCTAGCACATAATTTATGTGGCCTTTTGGGTATCTGCTTTAGGATCACACTAATTTTATCTGAGAAGCACCTGTGTTTCCTTCAGAAATTACTTGAAGAGTCTGGGCAACTCGCACATTGACTTCTAGAGCAAAATCATGAACTGAGATGGAAACTGCCATCTCCGCAAACGCCTTTCTGGGAAAGGACAATTTACTGGAAGAAAAACTGCAGTGTCCATGTCCCTGCCAACTGATACAGAACCAACACAGGCTTCAGGGTTACCACTGGCAACAGCCCATGGATCATTACTAAAATTAAAGAAATGGGTCAGTGATGACCCATCATCTACCAGCCTATGTCTGATATTTTTCCCCTGACCAACACTGTGGTTTGTTTTTTGTGGTTTTTGTTTGTTTGTTTGTTTTGTTGTGGTTTTTTTTGTATGTTTTTTTTTAGAAATCATCTCATTCTATACAATATTTTTAAGCTGAAGAACTAGTTGATCTGAGGGAAGTTCATCAGATCTTTCTACTGCCATAACATTTTCCATTCAAAAAAAAAAAGTTTAAATATTTATTAGTTACTTCTCATTTTCCTACAATCTATTTAAAAAAATAAATATTTGGAGCTTCTGGGTGCTTTGTTCTCTCCTGCTTCATGGACCCCTTTCACATGTCCTAAAGACCACCTCCCATCCCTGTACCACGGGCTGAGTAATACTACTCCAGACATTGACACACAGGCTGCTGGAATTGGTACAGTCAGGAAATTCATATCATTTCTCTGAGGTAAACAGTAAATGAAAGCCCTCAGGAAAGTCTGAATACCAGAGCGTTGGGTGGAATTTTTTTATGTTTTGGGTTTTTTTAAAAAAGAGAGAGAGTTCTTTTGAAAGTATTCTGTTACTACATCACGTTATTATAACCTAGGGCAGTGATGAGATCATTTCCACTACTAAGACAAGTTCTGGGATTTGTTTTTCAGTCTAGTGAGAAAGGCAGTTGCTTCACTGAGGCATGGCAAGCACACAAAAGAGAGTTCATCACCTCTCAGGAAGATGATAGCCAATTCTGCTGCCACCATCCGTGAAGTCAAAGATAAATCCTTCCAGAGATTATACAGAGCTTCTGTATAAAAAGAGGTAAACTAAACAAAAACAGATCAGTTGTAAACCCAATTTAAAAATGTGTCTCATGACTGGCCCCCCCCAGGCTTCAGCTGGGAGCTGGAACACCAGCTGGACCAGACCTGCAGAGACATACTTGATTTTATTAGTTAAACCTCCTTCAGGCTACAAGGCACAGATATTTTTGACATGTACTTTTCTTTAGAGCAACCACTGAAACAGGGACTAAAAAATTAGTCAAAAATTCGACTTTTCTTTAGAGCAACCACTGAAACAGGGGCTTCCCCATCAATGTCAAGTAAAAAATTAGTCAAAAATTCAGTTTTGCTCCCTCAAAGTCACTCCCCTTCTTAGGATACTGTCCTGAAGGATAAGGAGACTTTGATCCACACCAGTATTTTGTACCAGGTAAAGAATAAATTTGAACTCAATCTCCCATCTCTCAACTCTACACATTAACCATGGGCCATAGCGTACACTGAGCTTCTACATGTTGTGCTAGAAAGCTTCCATGCAAAACTAAGTATTTTCTCATATTTTGTAGTCAGTTTTCATACACTTAGGCTTCTAAGTTAAAGCAGGAGACACCTCCTTCTCTGGCTGCTATGCAAGTCTAGCCCTGATATCTTCCAGCCCAAGCCAACCAATTAACATAATTCAATTTGAATTCACAGTTCCGAAGTATAGAACAGCTTCAGTTCTACTGCCAATACTGTCTTCTTCTAACCTATACGCAAGTCACAGAAGTTGTCACATACACCAATATTGCACATCAACTAAAATAGACTCAAACAGAGACATTTTCTATTACAGCTGAAGTGATGTGCACCTGGAAAGTCACTGCTACATTGCACTGGATTTAGCAGTGCAATGGTATTGCCAGGAAAACACACCAAGGAAGAGAGTAGAGGTTACACAAAATGTCAGTGAAGCCCATTCAATGGCTTTGCAGGAATGCCTCTGAAAGAAATAGTCAGGGCTCACTCCATACTCCTTATTTTTCCCCTATGTATGACTAAAAGTTGAAGAACACACGCTGAAGAACACATGGACAAAACCAGATTGGCTGAAACATTTCCTATTCTGGCTATTTTAGGCCAGCTGACAAAAGTAATCTATTCAACATATCATGAAAACTCATAAAGGGCGCCTTATGAGAGCTACGTTCAATGAAATACATTCAAGTTAAAAGGAAATCAAGTCTGCAATCTTAGTGAAGCAACAGCACTGGTCTGGTTTGGGGTTTTTTTTTTGCTTTTTGTCTTATTCTTTTAAGAAAAAGAAGTTATAAACAGCACTTGCTGCCAAGAGTCAAACTGGTATCTTTCCAATGCAAATTAACCAGCCATGCAGGAAGATATTAAATTATGTGATCCAAGCTTAAATAAGTATTTCCATTTCTCTTTTGTTACGTATCCCTGTCACAGCAAAACAGGAGAGCGCAGAAAGGTGGTCATAAAGGAACAAGGTGGAGATTTTGAAAGACAACAATGGCAGAGGAGCACTTAACTCCACATTCAAAACCACTCCCCTAAGAGAAAGAAAATAAAATAAGCACATCAGTTTTAGGTTCACACTTTCTCTCTGAAAGTCTTAGTACACTGAACAACTCTTGGTAACCACCAAGAAGCTGATCCTATGAGTCAACTGTTTTATACAGTAAGCATCTGAGCCTACTGAGGTGCAGAAGACCAATATCTTCCTGCCACCTATATCCACTGCATTAAAAGCCCTACCCACACAATTGCACCTCACTTGGGATTAGACCTTTATGTGGTTTCCGAGTCCACATGCCTTCATCTGCAAGGTGCCTCCAAATTGAAAGTTTCACCGTTCACAGTTGAGGTAGTCGAAGGAATTTTCCCCAAAGGTAGGACATAAGTGCGGACAGACAAGCTCTGACATGTTCTGCAGGGGTCACACAGCCAACAGATGCTGGACCCTCAGCAGCTCCACTTCTCAGCCCAGCATGGTAATTCAAAGCCACTTTCAGTGGCTGCTCCAGGGAAGGCAACTGACTGTGTATCATTTCAAGCCACTGAGCTACTCAAGGGGGAAGGATGACCACCACCAGCACAGGAACTGGTCATGGGTATGCTACGGCCACAGCAGCTTCTCCAAGGATGCAGTGGAACTGACCAGAGGTCAACCAGGATGAGAAATTGACCTCTATCCATCAAAGTGTGAAAGTTTGTTCCCCAAAAAGAACATGTAACTCCATGAAAACAAGGGATCACGGTCTGTGATCCTACTTCCAATACATGCTAACAGATTCCTGCTGTAAGTCACACATGGGAACTCTTACAGACATTATTTTTTTTCACTTCAGACCAAAAAGAAAAGCTGCCATCGCAGACATTTTGTGAAAGTTTTCCTTAACAGTTAGATTGTTTTACTTCCCTATAAATTTCAAAACGGACTGCTTCACCACACATAGTATGCAGGGATAAGTAAATGAGATGGCAGAGCCTGCAGCAGCGGGTGCCAGAAATCGGTTCCAGCGACACGGGACAGAGGCAAGCACAAGCCTATCGCTCCAAGACTGAGGGACTGATCATGAGTAATGCAGTTTATGTAACTTTTGGAGTCTCCCTCTCTCCGTTTGCTGCACCCTCACCACAGGCATGGCCCCGTACCCCCGGCATTACGCGCTGTCCTGCTCTGGCACACGCGGCGAGCGCTTTTTCACCCCCTCGCTGCCTGTCTTTACCTCATGAAAGCTTCTAAACTCAAGCCTACGTGCTCGGTGAGGGCGGACGCCGCACGGCGAGTGTGTTTCTGACAGAAAGGTGAGGGGACAACACGGCCCCCTCAGCGGCCGCGGCGCCGACACGGCCGGCCGGGCAGCAGGTGCCTGACGTGGTGCCCGCGGGAAGGCGCCGCTCCGCTCCCCCGGCCGCCCTTCTCGACGCCCCTCAGAGAAGAGCTCTCAAACAAACGCCTGTCCTGCCGCGGGGGAAGGAGGGCGGCCGGCACCTCTCCTCACCACCGCGCTCCGGCCCGCCCCTGCGCCCGCTTCTACCGCCCCGGCCCGGGCCCTCCGCGCCCTGCCTGCCCGCGGGGCCAGGCGCGGCAGCCGCGCACCCCCTCCGCTCTATCAAGCCCTCCCGTCCCACCCCGCGGAGGAGCCGCTGATTGAGCGCGTAAGAAGGAGGCACCGCGCTTACGGTTGCCTGGGGTCCCGCGGGCTCAGCCATCCCTCTCGGCTAGGGCAGGGTCCCGTCCCCCATTGCAGGCAAACGGCACTTTTCACCCGCCCGGCGGGGGAGGCGCCAGCCGTCAGCTGACCGCCGCCTTCTTAAGGAGGCGTCAGGCGCCGGCGGCTGGCGAGGAGGGGAATCACCGGGGCTGGGGGCGGTTTTCGCCCTTGGGCCGCTCCGGGGGGCGCACACGGCGGTGGCCGGGGTGGCCAGGCTTGGCTTGGCGGAGGGCAGGCAGTTTGGGAGACTGGGGGACAGCCTTAAGGTTGACCTGTCCGCCCAAGGGCTGGGGCGCGCGCTCCCGTGAGGGGAGGAGCGAGGGCGGCCGGGCGGTGCTCGAGCTGTCTCAGGGGGTCAGCGGCCCTCCGGGGGGCCTTCTCCCCAGCGGCGTTAAGTTGAAGCCCTAGGAAGCATCGAGGCAGACTGTGACCAAAAAATAATAATAATAAAAAAAAATAGAGAGAGAGAGAACCATAGAATGGTTTGGGTTGGATGGGACCTTAAAGATCATCAAGTTCCAACCCCCTGCCATGGGCAGGGACACCTCCCACCAGACCAGGTGGCTCAAAGCCCCATCCAGCCTGGCCTTGAACACCTCCAGGGACAGGGCATCCACAGCTTCTCTGGGCAACTTGTTCCAGTGTCTCACCACCCTCAGAGGAAAGAATTTCTTCCTAATATCTAATCTAAATCTAGCCTCTTTCAGTTTAAAACCATTACCCCTTGTCCTGTCACTGCACTCCCTGACAAAGAGTCCCTCTCCGGCTCTCCAGTAGCTCCCTTCAGATATTGGAAGGCAGCTATAAGGTCTCCCTGGAGCCTTCTCCAGGCTGAACAACCCCAGCTCTCTCAGCCTGTCTCCATAGGAGAGGTGCTCCATCTCTCTGATCATCTTTGTGGCCCTCTGCTGGACCCGTTCCAACAGGTTCATGTCCTTCCTGTGTTGAGGACTCCAGAGCTGGACACAGAACTTCAGGTGGGGACTCACAAGCACAGAGCAGAGGGGCAGAATCACCGCCCTCACCCCGCTGGCCACACTTCTCTGTCATAGAATCATAGAATCGTCTAGGTTGGAAGAGACCCTTGGTATCATTGAGTCCAACCATCTACCCTACTCTACAAAGTTCTCCCCTACACCATATCCCCCAACACCACATCTAAACGGCTCTTAAACACATCCAGGGATGGTGACTCCACCACCTCCCTGGGCAGCTTATTCCAATGCCCGACCACTCTTTCTGTGAAAAATTCTTTCTTCATGTTCAGTCTAAACCTACCCTGTTGGAGCTTGAAGCCATTCCCTCCCGTTCTGTCCTTAATTACTGTGAGAAGAGACCAGCACCAACCTCTCTACAGTGTCCTTTCAAGTAGTTGTAGAGAGTGATGAAGTCTCCCCTCAGCCTCCTCTTCCTCAAACTAAACAGTCCCAGCTCCTTCAACCGCTCCTCATGTGATTTGTTTTCCAGGCCCTTCATCAGCTTCATTGCCCTCCTCTGCACTTGCTCTTGCACATCAGCTTCATTGCCCTCCTCTGCACTTGCTTTTGCACTCTTGATGCAGCCCAGGATGCGGTTTGCTTTCTGGGCTGCCAGTGTGCATTGTCAGCTCATGTTGAGCTTCTCATTGATGAGCAGTCCCAAGTCCTTCTCCTCAGGGCTGCTCTCCAGCCATTCTCCACCCAACCTGTATTTGGGCCTAGGATTGCCACGTCCCAGCTGCAGGACCCTGCACTTGGCTTGATTAAACTTCATGCGATTTGCACAAGCCCACCTCTCAAGCCTGTCCAGGTCCCTCTGGATGGCATCCCTTCCCTCCAGTGTGTCGACCACACCATTGAGTTTGATGTCACCGGTAAACTTGCTGAGGGTGCACTCTCTATATAAAAATAATCTATATATAATCTATATATAAAAATTCAATTATCTAACAGGTGGCTAAATCGAAGCTTGCATTAAAATAACTTCCATTGCTACAGTGATAAGGTGGATATTTATGTGGCAATAAATGTGTGTTTTTTCAATACTGTGTTTACTTGCTGTTGAGCCACACAGGGTGCTATGGGAATCTGTGGGAGAAGCCAGTCATGGTGGCCAAGACCTCCTTCAGCCCCTGGTCCCCAGGGTGCCAGGGCAGCGGTACTGTCTATGGCGGTGCCCTGGGAGGCTGACATGCCCGAGTCCTGCTTGTCAACTGTGTGAGCCTCCTGGCCTGAGGTGGCCACCTCAGCCTGTGACCGCTTCTCAGCGCAGGTGGAAGAACATCAGCCTTCTCGGCCATGACCCAGCAGCACCCTTTGGGCCTCACACCAGGGGGTAGGGCTCATGTGGACTCAAAAAAGCATCCAAAATCCCCAGGGCTATGGTCAGGAATGGCAATTCTGTCCATTTAATACCTACGGCAGATTCTATGTAGCTTATAAATGGTTAAGCAGTAGAGAATCTTCTTTTAGAGAAGAAATGTAGCTAGTTGAGTAACCATCCCAAATGTTTTCAAGGACTTAGTAAGATAAGAAAGGATGTCTCCATTTCTCTGGAGGCATCCAAAATCCGCCTGGACAAGTTCCTGTGCAACCTGCTCTAGGTGGACCTGCTTTGGCAGGGGGAATTGGACTAGATAATCTTCAGAGGTCCCTTCCAAACCCATGTGATTCTGTGATTCTCTGTATGTGGCCCCTAAGAACATGGTGACCTAAGACAGGGATGTGATAAATATGGACATTGTCTGACAAACAGGTGGTAGCAGGGAGATCATTAGTTTTAATGAGCAATTCAGCAGTTAGAATGTTTTGCCAACATGAAAAGTGAGCCAAAGGACAGGTGAAGAAGATGAACATTGAGGAAGAAACGACCCTCACTAAAATGAGGACCACCAGAAGGCACAACTACGCATGCCCAGAAGTGTATTATAATATGTAAATGAATTCTTGGAAATGTAATGAATATGATAATCTTTTCTTGGAATTACATTGAATATGTATACCTGTTGTGTATAAATGTAATTTGACAACAGTATTCGGTGCGCACAACAGGAGGAGCTATCCCCTGTGCACCCGGCTCTGCAATAAGGAATGCCTGCTTCCTAAACTTTAAATTGAGTCTTAAAAAGTTTTATCTGCCGGTTTGCGGTAACACATTAAGGACATTTACTACTATCTCCTTTTAAAACTGGTAGGTGATGCTTCCCCCCTCCCTTCCATGGGCCTGTATTAAAAAAAAAAAAAAAAAAAAGGGCAGAAAAGCAGGAGATTGACAGAATGAAATTGTGTCCACTTTGATGGAGAGATACGTAAATTGGCAGGGCAGTAGATGGGTAAACAGGCAGTTTGGATCCAGAAGCTCTGTGGCACCAGGGACATACAGGGGGTATGAGTTTGGGGTCAGAGTCCCACACTCAGGGCTACACCGCCGGGGCACAGCGGAGCGTACGGGCATGGCTCTGCTCTGAGTCACACAGACGGGCTTCCTGGCTGCCTTCGAGGTCTCTGCCTCTTGGTCCACGTAGGAATCCTCCAGCTCAGTGAGAAGAAAGTCTCTGCAACGCGGAACCTGACTTTCCAGTTAGTATTTTTACCACCCTAAGGCTTAACAAATACAAAGCAGCTGAGCTGACATAACACATGAAAGTAATTCCTTGCCCCTGTTGAGTCTTTTCACTCTCAGGCTACTGCTTCCCCTCCCACTTCTGCATCAGTAAAGATTTTAGTCTGACCTGCACCCCCCGTCACGCCTTATCCAAATTACGCCGCTGGCTTCTCATCTGGCACACAAGAAGTTAAAAGTGGCACATCTTGGCTGTGTGCAATGGTCTTCCCTGGAGAATGGGGAAGTGGGAAGGAGAGGATTAAGGGAAGCAGCTGGCTGGTTTTGGTTTTTTTTAATGCCAATTTTATTTTTATTAATTCCACTAATTTCATTTTATTAATCCTATCCCTTTTGCCCTTTGTGAAGATTTAAGATGACCTTAAAGTTCCCTTCCACATTTTTTCTGTTTTGCTTCAAAGGATTTAAAATTGATATATTTTGAAATATGCTTAAGTATAGTTATAAACTGAAGTACTGTATTATTTGCTGCATCATTAACACCCAAAAAAATATTTTCCACCTGGGTTTGTGGACTTCACAGTGAGTCAGCGGGAAGACCTGACAGGCTTGAACCTCAGCTGCTGCTCGCCCATAACTAGAGCTCTCAACATAACAGATCTCAAAGAAGCCAATTCTTCTCTAGACACACCAAAGCATGAGACAGAGTTTCACTTTGATGTTGACGTCAAGCTCTTTCCAAATACCCAGTTTTATGTTGGAATTTGCTGTTGCTTTGTACATTCTTAACATCTAAATAGGAACTCGTTTCTTTGCAAAATGTGGCCATAAAAAAAGCAGAGATAAAAGAAAAAAAACGGCTTGAATGACTCAACTACGACCTCCTCAAAGCACAGAAAACCAAAGGGTACACTTCCACAAGTGAAAATAAGTGCCATTCCCATTCTGTTAACAAGGTTCCTTAATGTGTAGTAAACTGGTAGCCACAATTAGAGGACAGCAAGCCACTCCTTGGTGCAAAGCAACGCAAGCCAGAAGCCTCATTTTCTCCATCATGTTACTGGTCTCCTGCTATGATGCATTGCAAGAGCCGAGCAACTCTGGCCATTACTTTTAACCTACTTTTCTGTCTCGTCATGTAAGAAAAAAAGGCATGGTAGGAAAGTGCTGTCCTGTAAATGCTGTGACACAGAAGGGCGAGTTTATGTTTAGAAAGCAGACTAGGACTGCCAGCTCAGAAAGCACTTATGTGATGTGGACAACCTCTTCGCCCACTTCCTCATCGTGCCTATTTGAGGGAACATCAACCAGAAAAATGCAGCAAAGCCACCACGGTGCCATTATGCAGGTCCTTTTGACTTCCACGTCAACTACTGTCTGAGGATCACAATCAACTCATCTCTTGGTAGGAAAGGACATTCTAAAATGTGTGAGAATAGCTCAGTAATGGTGTTGAGACATGTAGAAAAGATAACAGGCATGAATATGATTGCTCTTAGCAAGTTAGTTTACTTTCTTCCCTTTGACTGTTGTTGATTCATT